TTTGACAAAGGCTTCCATGACGATAAAGATGGATCTTCCATCTATAAATAGCTTTTTATATATACTATATTGATAAAAGTATACTGAAATCACCTGTTCAATTACTGTTTTTATGTATATTTTTGTATTAAGTTTCAATTTAGTTTTATATATATTTTATTACTTATATATATTTTATAAATTTCTAAAGTAACGGCATTTAGGAGTTCCAATCGCTTGGCGAAGGCTACTTCTCATTTCTGAGAAGGTTTTATGGCAAGTAGTGTTCGTCGCGCTGCCCCTAACCTTGTTGACAGATTGCACGTGTTGAAATATTTTGTGAATTATCGAGAAAATAGTTTTTCTGACAATGTTTTATAATGAATGCAATTATTAATTACAGTAGTACCAGTGACGACCGAACTCATTTTGCTTGAGTACTATGAAATCATAATGTCGTTATTACGGCACAAACAACGAGTACATTAAAACTGGATGAAAATTTTCATGGAATTTTTGCCGTAAACTTTTTTTCTCTTCGTACTGTTCATGTTTTGAATTTTATTGCACATTTTTACATTAATATTGAACTCCAGCATCCAAAAACAATTTTAAATATTTTCATTTCCCATATAATAAATAACCCCATTATAATTTATTATTGGAATTTGGACTTTCCTATTAATAAGATTTTCTATAATGGTTTACACCAATATGTTCTAATTTGACAATAAAACCTACATAGCTTTAAAGCTATGTTTATGAAAATAAGAATAGTTTTTGTTTCATCCAAATTGGTGCAGAAATACGAAAGTTCTAACGTTTTAAAATTTCGCAATTATTTAAAATTTTTACCCGCTCGTTCTCAGTGACGTGACGTCACAATCCGACAGAGCCAACGCACAGTAAGTACTTGCTAAGTTCAATACTAACCACGCGCTCGGAAATATACAGTCGTTTACCTACATATTATATCGAATGTCAGAGTTAATGTCCGGTTGACTGTATTAGATGACATAATACTTATAATGAACTCAACGACTATAAAATAATTTTGAACTAATAATTTATGAATAATCTAATCTAATCCAATGTAATCAATATTATCTATGATGAATAATTTAGTCTAATAATCTATTATTATGAATAATGTAATCAATGAACTATTAATAATATTTGACATTTGTATGCCCATGAGGCTGATCACAGACTGAACTTTATTTGTGTTTAAATAAGACCTTTTTGTAAACTGTCAATCACAAATGAACTATTTGATTTGATTTATAAATTAAAGTATTGAATATTTAGCTTTTATATGATTATATCTATGTGTATAGTCACGGTGTGTTAAAAAGTTACAGCCTATATACGTCCCACTGCTGGGCATCGGCCTCCCCTCACTTCTGAGAGGGTTTTTAGGGCAAGGAAATGTCCGCCGCGCTGCTCTAATGCGTGTTGGCGAACTTCACATGTCTTCGATTTTTTTTCTTATTTCTAACACTTGCAGGTTTCCTCACGATGTTTTCCTTCACCGCCGAGAACGTGGTAAATCAGCACTTAAATTGTAAGTAACAATTTCATTAGTGCCGGCGGGGATCGAACCCGGGTTGCTCGCGTACTGTGAAATTTACAGCAAGCGCTAACCATCTGAGCTATCACGGATGTGTGTAGCTAGTGCGCTGTGTAGTACTATATAAAAAAGAAAATGGAAGCGGGCTTTGAAAAAAGACAGTCTATCTGCCAAAAGTGGATATTTTTATGGTTGTGCAGAATTTTTCAGAAAATTATGATTTTTTATCATCAGAAATGCATGGAATAAAGCTCTAAAGGTAAGTTACTAATAAAAGATTACGAAAAGTATACAGTTTTACCATTCATTAGTAATTAGGCATTAATACATAGGTAGGTATAAATTGACCGAACCACGAAGTTGCACATGATTTACAACGGCATAAAATGAAAAAAACTTACTTAAACTTACTAATGTAGTGAGGATTAATCAATTCTTACTATTATTTAGTATCTAGTGACACGTGTAGAAATTTTGTTAGTTACGTAGTTCATCAGTGGTTGCAAACATATGGTCCTAGTTTTACTTTGACTTACTTTTGAATAGAATAGAATAGAATAGAATATTTTTTATTCAATATACATTACATGTGTAATTCTTATTGAAAGTCATTTTTTACTTTACCACTGGTTCTAAAAAAACCCTCTGTCCTGGGAAGAACCAGCAAGAAACCCAGCGGGACTTTTTTTTAAAAATAAATTTTACAATATAAATGATTACGAACTATTTACAAAATTTATTTTAGAAACTGCTTGGAAGAGATCACCTCATTCCCAGGGGTTATTATCAACCATTTATACTATTAATACCATATAACCATTTATACATTTATACTATAATAACCCTTTTTATACAGTTTCAGCTTAATAAAACATTTAAACTTGGTAATAGAGAGAACCTGTACACTTTCCGGGACCTTGTTGTAATAGCGTATACATTGCCCCAAGAATGAATTACTGACTCTGTGGAGTCGAGAAACTATCTTTGTTTTTGTGAACATACATTAAATTTTCGTAAATATACTGAGAGGCCAAAGTTAATATATTAATTTCTTTAAATTTATCTCTAAGAGACTCTCTCGGTTTTAGATTGTAAATAGCTCTAATGGCCCTCTTCTGTAAAACAAAAATAGTTTCTGAATCAGCCGCATTTCCCCATAGCAAAATCCCATAAGACATTATGCTATGAAAATAACTAAAATAAACTAATTTAGCTGTCTCGACACTAGTGAGACCTCTAATCTTTTTTACAGCATAGGCTGCAGAACTTAGTCTGCTTGCTAATTTGGATATATGGGGGCCCCACTGGAGCTTTGCGTCAAGAGTGATGCCAAGAAAAACAGTGGATACAACAGGGCTCAATTCCTCCCCATTTAAAAACACATTGGTATTCAGATTTTTAACATTCGTTGTTGTAAATTTAACACAATTAGTTTTATTTCCGTTCAAATGCAGATTATTAACGTTAAACCAATGTACTAATTTTGATATAGCATTATTCACTTCGTCACATTTAAATGATTGACGTTTAAGTTTAAAAATCAAGGAAGTATCATCAGCAAATAATACTATATCATGACTATCCCCTACAAGGTGAGGTAAGTCATTAATATACACCAGAAACAGGAATGGGCCGAGAATCGAGCCCTGAGGAACACCCATTAGTACAGGTGACCCGGAAGAACTTTTACCATTGATAATAACCTTCTGTTTTCTATTACTTAGATATGAAATAATAAGTTTAAGCGCTGTGTTCTTGACACCATAGTACTGTAGCTTCCTGATTAATATCTCATGGTAAACACAGTCGAAGGCCTTGGAAAGGTCACAAAATATACCCAAAGCATCCTCTGAATTCTCCCATGCACAAAAAATATGTTTAATAAGCTCAACTCCAGCGTCAGTTGTCGAGCGACCCCTTGTAAAACCGAATTGATTTTTATGTAGCAATTTATTAATATTGAAGAAACTTAACATCTGATCGAAAATAATTTTTTCAAAAATTTTTCTTAATGTTGGTAGTACAGAAATTGGTCTAAAATTGGCGGGGTCTAATGTACTACCAGATTTAAATATAGGTATGACTTTACTATGTTTCATTAAATCAGGAAACACACCAGATTCGACGCTTATATTAAATATAGTGGCTAGATAAGGTGCTAATGTATCTATTATAGATAAAATAACTTTAACGGAAATCCCCCATAAGTCTGCCGTTTAATTGCGTTAAAATAAACTGATTGCGGTATTACGTTGGTAGTTGGCACCTACTCTGTTTTGAAAATGCAATGGCTGTAAACATTCACTGATCTACAGGATTTTATCTTCTCATATCTGACTTTTATTCCCAAGGAGCGTGATATAACAGAAATAAAAAACACAGAAAATAAAGGTTACTGATAAATAAATACCATGACAAGAAAAATATGGAGTAATAAATATGGAGAGAATAAGAAAAATATAACAATAGACTACTGGTGGCTTCGACGTGTCGATTTGAGACGTTACATCGCGATGCGGAGCAAAGCGGTCGCCCTTACCGTAAAACACCACTTTACTCATCAATATTTCAGTCATTTTTAAAGGTAAAAAAAAAATAAGAATACCGTTGAATTCGTAATTTTTTATACAATTTTTTGATACCTTTAACAAAATTGGGTGGCCAGACGCATTGCTACATTTGGCATGTAGATTGGCAATTACTATTTCAGACATCTCGATCTTTTGACGTTACTCCCTTTTAATGGTATCGGATATGGATAATTTGGCATTGACGAGATGGTATTTTACCGCCATTTATCGCAGGCATTTGAAACATTTCTGACATTTTCAAAAGCCGGTTTATCTTAATTGTTTAGCTATTTGTTTTCATACCATAAAACTCACCCATATCTCGGAAACCTCTCTTGTGTTGCAGCCGTTGTGAGGATGTCAAGTGATTAAAATTTGATAAAATTCAAATGTCTTATCTGTTTGCTTTTTTGGTAAAATGTCTCGTAAAATGTATTCAAATTGTAATATAAGTAATTCTGTTTTGACTAACGGCGTTGAATTACTACCCTTGTTTGTAAATATCAGGTTTGGTCGAATATGAAATGCTGATACAGTGTGTTTTAGAAAAACACAATATTTTTTTATGTAATATAATATAATAATCAGAGGCAGCTGAACTGAGTAAGTGGCGCAAACTACTACTACATATTTGTGCCATTTGCTGTAAGTCTCTACAGTCCCTATCAGTCCGTGGGGTCCACGTGCTGTGAAGTTCCTAAAGGAATTCCATCCGCGGCTGATTGTTGCTGCTGGTGATAAGAGGGCTGGTTCTTTTCTCGCTCAAAGGATAAGTATAGCCATTCAGCGGGGAAACTGCAAGCGTTCTTGGCACGATACCGTGGGGAGTAGGACTATATGATAAGTAAGTTTCTAGTTTATGTTTTTTTATTATTATTATTATAGTTTCTAATATTGTATATAATAAAATTAGTAAAGGCAAATTTTATATCCAAACAACAAAGATATTTTATAGGTCCAGATACCATGTACGCGCAACTAAAACGCTTCCATTTCAAAGGCGCCAATATTGGCGTATTCGTTCGATCGTTCCGCCATTACGCCAGCGACGTTCGCTGTGAACATACGTCACGCAGCGGAGTTTTTATATTTCGCAAAATGACTGTTTCTGCTGTGAAATCATTTAAAAATTACTCTTAGAAAAAAGATAAGGATAAGAACATCACTTTTCATTAGTAACTATACAATTTTATGGTGTATTTCTTTGTAAAAGAATACGAAAGCTAAATGTCAATACAAGTAATAATACTGCGCAATAATATTCGAGTGTTGCCTAGTCTATGAAATGTTTTTACCATTTTTTAATGTCATGATCAACCACAAAGGTTATCTGTATAGGGGTTTTAAACAGTCTAATTTTACAGATTTTACCCAACCTATAGAGTTAAACCGTTTTAAGGGTTAGGGTCGAACTACATCTGGCAGCATGAAATTGCACTTTCCTGTGCTTCTATCCTTTTTGGTCACTCAGAACCGTTATAGTGTAACCGGTATAGTTCCACCCTCAAAAAGCCGATTGTAAACCGGTTTTAAAAGTTTATCTATCATTCTTGACAATTCATACTAATATAATATTATACTGAACCTAAACGTTAAGTTGGAGAGGTCTCGTCTAATGAAGTCAACGCTCCGTCCCCCTCGTGCTCTAATCCAAAGTCCCGAAACCTTTCAGCTCGAGTTACAAAACCGTTTTCAGTGCCTAGAAGACTGCAATGAAGTGGACGATTTGAATGACAAGCTCGTGGAAACTGTCCATGCGGTCGGAGCTAAGTTCTGCAAGACCCGCCGCAGAAGAACACAAAAACTCTCCGATCACACTCTTAATCTCATGGCTGTTAGACGGGAGATGAAGCTACATTCTTCAACAGATTTAACAGCATACAGGCAACTGAACAGACAGATCTCCAAATGCATGCGGCGGGACCTACGCAAATTCAATACAGCTCGTATTGAAGAAGCGATCGAGCGGAACCAAGGCTCCAAAGTCTTTGCCAGAGATCTGTCTGCCAGAAAGCGCCAACTGTCAGAGCTGAAGACAGAGTGTGGCAGCATCGTTTCCGGGGCACCTGAGATTTTGAGTGAGATTGAGAGGTTCTATGGGCAGCTGTACACGTCATCGTTGGAGCCGCACGCAAGTGTGAGTAACGATCCAAGAGCGAGTCTTATCCGACATTATTCCGATGATATCCCGGACGTCAGTCTGAGCGAGATTAGAATGGCTCTCCAGCACCTTAAAAACGGCAAGGCCCCAGGCGAGGATGGAATTACAGCGGAGCTTCTGAAAGCGGGTGGAAAACCGGTACTTGAAGTCCTTCAGAAGCTCTTTAATTCCGTCCTCCATGGTGGCATTACACCGCAGGCGTGGAGCAGAAGTGCGGTGGTCTTGTTCTTCAAGAAAGGCGACAACGCTCTCTTGAAAAACTACAGACCGATTTCCCTTCTGAGCCGCGTCTACGTGCTGTTTTCGAGAGTCATTACGAATCGTCTCGCGCGCAGACTTGACGACTTCCAGCCTCCCGAACAAGCCGGTTTCCGAAAAGGCTTTAGCACCATAGACCACATACATACCCTTCGGCAAATTGTACAGAAGTCCGAGGAGTACAATTTGCCACTATGTCTGGCGTATGTGGACTATGAGAAAGCCTTTGATTCCGTCGAAATTTGGGCGGTGCTGCAGTCCCTTCAGCGATGCCAAGTTGACTGTCGGTATATCGAAGTGTTGAAGTGCTTGTACAGTAGGGCTACGATGGCTATCCGAGTACAGAACCAGAGTACGAAACCTATCCAATTGCAGAGAGGTGTAAGACAGGGTGACGTCATATCCCCGAAACTCTTTACCGCTGCATTGGAAGATGTTTTCAAGCTTCTGGACTGGAAAGGATGCGGTATCAACATCAATGGCGAGTACATCACTCACCTTCGATTTGCCGACGATATAGTCCTTATGGCAGAATCGCTGGAGGACCTAAGCACTATGCTCAATGACCTCAATAGTGTTTCCCAACGGATAGGTCTTAAGATGAACATGGACAAAACAAAGATCATGTTTAATGTCCATGTCACACCTATGCCGGTAGTTGTTGGGAACACTAAGCTCGAAGTTGTTGACGAGGTTTACCTGGGACAAATAGTCCGACTAGGTAAGTCCAACTTCGACCGAGAGGTCAATCGACGGATTCAACTCGGTTGGGCAGCGTTCGGGAAATTACGGCACATCTTCTCGTCAGGTATACCTCAAAACTTGAAAACGAGACTGTACACCCAGTGCGTGTTGCCAGTGATGACATACGGAACTGAGACGTGGTCCTTCACTGCTGGCCGGATGAGGAAGCTCAAGGTCGCTCAGCGAGCTATGGAGAGGGCTATGCTCGGAGTTTCTCTGCGTGATAAACTCAGAAATGAGGATATCCGCAGTAGAACTAGAGTGACCGACATAGCCCAACGGATTAGTAAGCTGAAGTGGCAATGGGCCGGCCATATAGCTCGAAGAACCGACAACCGATGGGGAAGAAAGGTTCTCGAGTGGCAGCCTCGTACCGGCAGGCGAAGTGTAGGGCGTCCCCCCACTAGATGGAGTGACGACCTGGTAAGATATGCAGGAAGTCGATGGATGCAGGTGGCTCAGGGCCGTGCTTTGTGGCATTCTTTGGGGGAGGCCTATGTTCAGCAGTGGACTTGTGAAGGGCTGTAATGATGATGATGATGATAATATTATAAATGTGAAAGTGTGATTTTTTTGTTTATTTGTTTTTGTCCTTCCTTCACGCAGCAACGGAACGGAGCAATTTAGAAAAAATAAACATTTTGCTATCTCTTGGCTGAAGTTTACGCTTAAAACTTACTTTTTTTTTACAAACTTACTTTTTTCGTCATTTTACTTAGGATTGAAAAATAATTTAATGTCTTCGTAAAAAGTGTCAATAATTTGTGTTCTACAGTACAAAAGTGTAGTACTTTGTATATAGTAATAATAGATTATAAATATGTTACATACATAAATATCTACTGTGCTTTTTTATTTATTTTAACTGTTACATTAATTATAGGTTTTTTACATATCTTCAATATTTTAATGCAATGTTCGTACCTACATAAAACACACATAAGCAACCATATCCCCATACACACACACACACACACACACACACACACACACAAATGCACACGCCACGCACACACATTTTATACTCTTAGAATCAATAGGTACTTCAATAGGAATGAAATATAAAATCTCCCACATTTTTTGGGTAATCGATTCGCACTGTTATTACCGAAGTCACGCACATTAATGCAGCCATGGTGCGTAAGATATGCGCGTCACGTGGTACTCACGCACACATGAATCAAAGACTGTCTTCATTATGAACGTTGCGGTGTGTTAGCAACACGGTATCTAGACCTATAAAATATCTTTGCCAAACAATTTGTATTTATATAATACTATTAATTAATGAAAGTCAGTTTGAACATGACAAGATATTTTGCTTGCTCGCTTGCGGCATAATATTAATTCATTGTCCTAAGGCACTTATCGTATGGTGGTAACTTAAGAGAATCCATCACCACATTTCGTTTCGTGGGTGTCGTATGAGATAATTAAGGCAACTGTCAGAAAGAACTCAAATACTTCTAATAAATGGCGAACACTATACGTTATTCTCCAGACGTAAAATACTAGGTATGAATCGTAGGAGTGCTATAGTTTCGAGTCGTCTGGTTCTGTAATTTTTATTACGTGAGAGGTCCCAGCTGTGGACTTTTACTGGCTGAAGACGGTGAAAAAGATTTCTAGCGGCGATAATAGTAAAAAAACTTATAGTTTATCTGCAAAGACAATAATATGGCCAAAAACTGTTATAAAATTTATTTTTATAAAAAATCACAGGAAATTAGTTCAATGAAATCTCTTTATTGATGGGCATTAAAAATTAGATTCAATCAGTCGCCTTGACATTACTTTTTTGATTCCAAAGTAAATCAATAACAAACCATTGGCCAATGTAGAAGAAAAAGTGGCCCAAGATACAATATGCACCAAAAAGAATAAGTTGAAACGTTGAAAGTATCTTGAGACCTGGATACACGTATTCTCTTTGAAAAAGGCTTTGAAGACACCTGAAATAAAACGTCACACGAAACATTAGAGAATTTTCTGGTTTTGCATGTTTATCCTCAAGTCACGCTTAAACGGTTTAACAAATCCAAATCAAATTGTCGCGCAAATATGAGTCTGTCGCATCTGTGATGTCGCGTCTGTGAGAGATAACTACATACGAGGGTGCGTTTTAAAGTTCGCGGAATGGGGGGCAAGGAGTGGAAGTAAAAATCGAAATTTATTTTTCCTTTTTAATATTGAAATTTTGAATGAATATGTACCTGCTACCCTAATACATTTTTCGGATCTTCCAATTAACTTATGTATACCCTCAAAAAAAATATTTGTCTTTATCTAAAAAATACGCCGAAACTGATTCCTTGACTTTTTCATCACTTAAAAACTTTTTCCTACGAACTTCTTTTTTTAAGTATGGAAAAAGTTAATAAAAGCTTGGAGCCAGGTCAGGACTATAGGGTGGGTGTGAGAAAATTTCGAAGCCCAACTTCTGCAGGGTAGCCATCGCAACATGGCACTTGTGAACGGGCGCGCTGTCGTGCAGAAGAAGGATTCCTTTGGTCAACTTTCCCCTTCTTTTCTCCTTTATGGCTTCCTTCAATTGTTCTAGGATTGAAGCGTAGTAACTTCCGATTATGGAAACACCTTTATCTTTATAATTAATCGATAGAATTCCTTCTAAGACCCAAAAGACTGTCGCCATGATTTTCCCAGCCGATTGTGCCGACTTAAACTACTTGGGTGGTGATGTGCCTTTTTTGTGCCACTGTATGGAGTCCTGTTTGGACTCAGGTTCATAATGGTGAACCCAAATTTCATCACCAGTAACAATTCGAGCCAACATTCCATCTTTGTCTTCCATACAGAGTTTCAAAAATGCACGAGAACTCTCCACGCGCTGCTGCTTTTGAGGTGGCGTGAGCAATCTAGGCACCCATCTTGCGCTGACTTTAGACATGCCAAGGTGGTCATGAAGAATTCTGAAAATGGTTGTATCTGATACTCCAACCATTTCTGCGAGCTGTTTTTTCTTTAGGCAGCCATCTCCTAATTTTATTTTTTCGACTTTTTGAATAATTTCCGAAGTGGTCACCTAGATCGGCCTTCCTGGCCTTGGGTCGTCTTCAAGTGACTCTCTGCCCTTTAAATAAAAGTAATTTTACGCATTTTATCCCGTATATTAACTTATTTTATATTCCCGACGTTTCGAGCATGGTCAGGAGGGGACTGAGGTGTATTATATATAAAAAAGCTTTGCATATAAGAAAATGGCAAATACAGGGTTATTTTTCAAAGTGTAGCTAAAATTTTATACTTAAGTTCAAATATATAAATAAAATGATTTAACGTTATTACAGTTTTTGAAAATACAAGTAAATAAGGCTTCTAATTTTATTTGAAATTATCCTAAATTGAATGTGATTTATAGGTAACAACGTATTAATTATGGGATCCCAAGTAGATGGTAGCACCCAGCCATCTTCTCTATTGAAATTAGGATGTTTTTTGATTTCAATAGCCTCACGAATCATCCTTGGAAGGAATCGGTGTTCTTTAGCGAGGATTTGTGGTCTATCAAATCTAATGTAGTGATGGGGGCAATCCTGTACGAACACGTAATAATAAAATTAAATCCCAACCCAAACATGCAACTGCAAGACTTCAAGATACTGTAAGTTCATACTGCGTAGATCGGAACAAAAATTTATAATTTTTAATGTGGAGGTAGCCGTGGTTAACTACGACATTGGGACGTCATACACCTCAGTCCCCCCCGTGACCATGGGTGCTGTAGAGTTTTTGAAACGTCGGGAATATAAAATAAGTTAATATACGCGATAAAATCCATAAAATTAGTTTTATTTAAATGTGTAGTGTTCGCGTAAATATAAGAAATCATTATGACACTCTGCCTTGTTTAAAAAGGGTATGCCACTTGTAAACCATAGTTTTACTTTGACAATAGTCTCCGTAAACGGTGACATCTCTTCTAGCATAGTCTGGATTGTTCTTCTGCGCTTGGTACGGAACTTTATAACGCCACGCAACTCGATTTTCTCCGTATTTCACAATTTCTTTCCGATTAACATGTTTGGTTGACGATAAATCAAAGACTAATGATTTAATAACAATAAAACCCGGTATTTATACTAACAATGAGTTGCTCAATTAGCACGAAATTTAGCGACGTCCCCACTTATTAACTTATTACCTACCTACTCATTCCGGGAACTTAAAAACGCACGCTCGTATGTATGCCATTTGCTGTAGAGACTATCGGTCCGTGCGATCCACGTGGGATGAATTTTATAAAGGAACTTTATCTGCGACTGGTCCTTGCTGCTGGTGAAATTCTTGCTCAAAATCTGAGTATAGCTATTCAGCAAGGAAATGCAGCCAGCTTTCTTGGCACTATATCACGGGGAGTAGGACTGTATGATAATTAAGTTATTAGTGTTAGTTTTTTTATTATAGTTTTTTAATATTGTATATATAACAAAATTTGGTACTATCGTTTGGGAATTCCCGACAATTTCAAAGTCCCGGGACACGGGACAGCCTATAATCAATGTCCCGGGAATGCCCGGGACTTCGAGACTTTTAAGAAAAAACTTTTTTTTAAAGATGGGTAAGCCTTTTTGAAGAATTTTAATTGAGTTAATTTCTGATGAAACGTATCAAAAAAAGACAATTTTTTGTAAAAATCTACATTTATTATACAATAAAACAGAAATTGAATAAAACTATGTTTTACGGATTTTATCACGTTAAATTTACTATTTTAATTCCCGACGTTTCGGGTGCTTTCACGGGTCACGAGGGACTGAGATGTTTGACGTTCTGATGTCACAGTTGGCCCGGCCTCTTTCAGTTTTCTAACCGATTCGTTGCGGCACCGATTTTCGACAACTTTTAGCTGTGGCGGCGAACAAATATTTCACACAGAAACGCCACAGAAGTTGATGACACGTCTTTTGTGCTATCAGCCATGTGTAAAAGTAATGTTCTTTTTTATGCTTTTTTTACTTGTTTAGGCCTAATTAAGTTTAGTTGACATCAAACATAAGTTTTAAACGGAAGGATACTTGCTTTTAGTGGGTAACTACGTGTTTTTTTTACCAGTTTTCTTTGAAATTGAGAGTAAGTGACTTTTTTATGCACAGATTACAAACTTTTTGTACTATTTTTTGTTTTATAAAAAAATCATTTACATAAGTAGGTACAGCTAAATCACCCTGGAAACCTTGGTTTTTATTAAATTAAATTTTCACCTAATTATAACATTTGTAAATATCAAACAATTTTTTATGATTTATTGATATTTACAAATGTTAAATATTATTTAATGTTATACAAATGTAAAAGTAAAGTCGATCTGAAAACGTCTAAATAGTAACAATAGCACAACAAGTGTTTTGAAAAGGAAAAAAACACCGGCACTATACGGCGGCGGATTGACAAAAGACTATTTATTAGCGAACTTTTTTTATGCATGAACGGTTTCGAACTATTTCAAGCAAAAATAAAACCTTATACCATATCACAAGAGCGCATGGTACTTCGTAGGTCTATTCGGCTATATGATAGTAATAAGACGGCAGTTCAACCATTTTAAGCAAAATTAAACAATAAGACAAACCCATTGATTTCTTTTAACAGGAGACTTGTTTTCCAGAAATTTATTTACAACTTGAGTTTGTGTGCGATCGCAATGAGTGCTATTATTTGTTACTTATGAGACTATTTTTCCACAACATGATTTAAAACCCACAAAGTAAAAATAGTACCATGTACACGTTAAAAAAAGGTTGTCAACCCCTAAAAATTTCAAATTTTCAAAATATCCAGAAAAGAATTACTTGCAAAATAATGAATATTTTGTTCTGGATAAATCTTCCAAAAAAGCAATTTGAGCGAGTTATAACGATTTTTAAAATGACACGACACACAAAAGTAATCGATGGCACGCCTGGCGTGCTGCTCGCACTGAACCGGTATTTTTGGTTCGATTTACGCAGAATGAACTTACAGTATCTTGAAGTTTTGCAGTGGTATGCTTGGGTTTGGATTTAATTTTGTTAATTATAGGATCCCAAGCAGATGGCAGCACTCTCTATTGAAATTAGGATGTTTTTTTTTAATTTCAATAGATGCGCGTATCATCCTTGGTAGGAATCGGTGTTTTTTGCGAGGATTTGTAGTCCATCAAATCTGATGTAACGTCGGGGACGATCTTGAACATGTTCACAGACTGCAGACTTCCCAGAGCGTCGGTGCTTCACTTCAGCTATATGTTCTTTCACGCGGGTTTTAATGGATCTTTTTGTTTGTCCTATGTAAGACAGACCACATTCGCAATCAAGCTTGTACACTCCTGCATCTTGTAGAGCGATATTACAATTGACGGATGGTAAAAATTTACTAATCTTCTTCTGCGGCTTGAAGTATGTTTTAATAGAATCTCGCTTCAAATATAGCCAACGAAAAGTTGTCTGTGACGGCTCTGACATAGGATAGTACAGCCGAAACGTTTGGAATTAAAATAGTAAATTAAACGCAATCAAAACTGTAAAAAATAGTTTTATTCAATGTGAAGTGTTCGCGTAAATATAAGAAATCATTAATTAAACAGAAAATTAAATAACTTTAACGTTAATTTCAGTGTTAATAATTGCTTTGTTTATTTCTTTTAGTCACACACAGATGCAGTCTGTGTGTGACTAAAAGACAACAAACAGTTAAATTTTATAGTTATGAAACGAACTTAGTAAAAAATCATGCTAATTCTTAATAACTTTACTATTATCTAGTAATTCTAGTATCTAATCATTGTTCATAATCTCATTGCTAATTCTCATCACATATTCGTTTAATTTATTGTGTTGCGTGCTCAGACGTAGTAGACCAAGTAATTATTCATTAAACTAACACATGGCGCTAGGCTCCTTCAATTATTTGAAAATAAAAATGATTACATAACAATTTCGACAATCTTGTTACGTCTCGAGTCTCGACCCGAAAGTCCCGGGACTCGAGACAACAAAAATTACGAAAAGTCCCGGGAATTCGAGACACGAGACGTCCCGGGACCCAAACCCTATTTGGTACATAATTCAACTATACGGTAGAACAGAACAAAGGATACTTTTCGTAACAATTCTGTCAGGCCTAGTTGAAAAATATTTTATTATGAATATTATTTTAATGTCGAATTATAGCTTTTTGCTGCCGACATTGATGATGTTTTATATTATGGTGATCTGGAATCATGTCAACAAAATAATAAGAAATAATTAATAGTACATGACACTTATTTGTGTAATCACTCACATGCTTGGCATTACAACGCCTTGAGTATATCAAAAACTTAAAAGTTTGTACAATATAAAACATGATTTATTCGATTAGAATTCACTAAGTAAGTATTGTCAATTAAAATACTTTTTTGGTGAAAATGTTATCTAATTTACATGTATTTTGTTTTACAATACAATGTTAATTAGATAATTTATCATGTATTTGACATTTTGCCCTAGAGATAATTAATATTAAATTGTAAATAAATATATTTAAAAATCCTCTACGATTATATATTAGAAGGCAGGTGGACTATTGTGTTGTTTAGATAATATTAGCGCCAAGGTTATTAAATTATAGCGTTGATTTTATTATTTAGGTTAGGTTTTTTCATTCATTCATTACAGCCCTTCAGAAGTCCAATGCTGAACATAGGCCTCCTTTATTTATTAGGTTAAGTCTTAGATAAAGTGTCAGTAGCCTAATGGCAGGGCGCGGACCGCGAACTCGAAAGGTCGTGCGTTCGAATCCGCCATTCGACTACTGTCGTGAACCACTTCTAACACAAGCATTTTAAGCTTACCAGAAGTGGTTAAAGGGAATATTAGTAATGTTTAATAGCATTACTAGTATATTATATAAAAAAAAAGTTACTTTTCTTAGGTAGACTTAGTTATTATGATCGATAGATGATTTTGGATTTTTTTAAATTTAGTGGTAACTATAAAAATACTTACACTAAAATATAGGTGCCGATGTATGTAGAGAGGATGATAATGCCCCATTTATGATTGTTAGGTTTTCGTCGAGGAACCAATACTAGGTCCAATATTACAAACACAAGCGAGGCTGTATGCATGCTATGTTGCTCCCACAACGACACGTACTTGTCAACAGAAAGTGGCATCAATAGCTCTCTGTTTGTATTCCATATGATCCAGAATAAGATGTCTGGAAACTGAAACATGGTATTAAATTCTATAATGTATTCATCGTTTGTTAAAGAGTTGAGGATCTTATGATAATGATGATTGTTTTTATTACCGTCAGATCGGTTAAACTATATTATTTCGATAAATAGAATTATCAAATTAATTAACCTTAGTAATACTATTGCTCTACATACATTGAAATACATTGTCGAAAGTAGAAAATATTTAATAAACATTTACCAACGTAGCTGGAAGGATCAGATTGGTGAAATAAAAATCTCTAATATTCTTTAACGCCTTTACATGCGGAACATTTGCTTTTGTGAGTTCCCGCCAGTCGCAGTAAATGCATAAAAAGATGTATGGTATTGTTAGAATCTGAAAAAAAATTGTAAGTTTTTAAATTGGAATTTTTATATTATGAATTATTGGAAATAATTTTAGAAAGTTAACTGGTAAAAATTTTTTTCCCTTGAGTCTGATCTTTTTTCTTTGGTAAAAACATGAGTAACTTGACTATTTTTTTTCTTTTATGCCTCCAAACCAACAAAGAAAGATGCATCCCAAAATGGTTTTTTTGGTATGAGTGTAGTGGCAGCAGTGAACATTTACAGGCTGTTAAAGAAGGAAAGTATAAAGATGTGTGCGTGAGCGCGTGTCAAGAAGTTGAACATTCTACTTAAGTTTTGCATTGCATTAAATGTATGCAGCGCTCCGTCTGTCTTTCTTTCTCAATCTGAGTATAGTTCAAAGAATAAGAAATTAAAAGTCTCGTACTGTCTGGTGATCATTTACATATTTCTTGTTAACTCAGTAAATAAGTACTGTGGGAAAAATATTCAATGTTAGAAATATATAAATTAAAAATGTGTTATCATAACGTTGTGTGCTAAGGAAATAAAAAAAACACACACACACACACACACACACACACACACACACACACACACACACACACACAAATGCGCACACACACACACAAATGCGCACACACACACACACACACACACACACACACACACACACACAAAGTCGTATCATAAAAATATGAACGATGAAAATGTTTCGCCTTTCAAATATTCATACGTTTTAGACTATATAAGACAACTAGCTGGCCAGGCAGACGTTGTTCTGCCCTTTTCGACGACCCTTCATATAAAAAATCCTTAAATTCGTAATAAAAAAATATTGAGTGTCAATATCAGGATAAAAACTATCCTATCTCTCAAGTTGGACCAAACTACACAGAGTGTGCAAAATTTCATTGAAATGAGTTCAGTAGTTTAGGAGTTCATCGCGGACAAACAATGTGACACGTAATTTTTATATATAAAGATTACAATCTATCATCAGGGACGTATGGAAGGTATAGATAAAATATGTAAATGAAAGTTTATGGATTAGAAATATTTCTGTATTCAAATATAAAAAAATATAATAAATATCACATGATCATGAGTTTTTCCTTTTTTCATGAATAATTCAGTAAGAAAAAAAGAAACAAGTCAAGCACTTGTTTCTTTTAGGTCCTCATACCGACAAATAGTCGGAGCGCTGCGTACATTTCAAATAACGCCGAAACCAAGCTTGAACCACTCCTCACACATTATGCATCTTAAAATCATTTGTCATCATATGGTTTTTGATGCCTATGTGTGCGTGCAGCAGTGGCCTTTTGATGCTGTTAAAGAAGGAACAAATAAAGATGTGTATGTGTGTGCGCGCCAAGAAGTTGAACATGAGTTCGGCGCGATTGAAAAGTATGGTAGTCGTCTATCTTTCTTTGTCGGTTTGAGGTTTTGTATAAAAACTAAAATCTCGTACATGGCTATGTGGTGATCTTTTATTTTTTCTTAATTCGATAATTACAATAAAAAAATAACCTAGGTTAAAAAATTATTAAAATAAAAAATGTGAGATTTTTTCTTTTTCAATCATAATGTTGTGTGACAAGGAAAAACGAAAAAAACTGTGAATATATTTTACATAATAACATGATTTTAAGAAAAATAAAACTAACTATTTATATATTTTGTAGATTAGATTACTTTGTTTCTTATGCAATTCATTTAAGAAAAACGGTCACCAAATCATAACATAAAGATATGAACAATGAAAATGTTTTATAATCACTTCATTTTAAGCTAATTACAATATACGAGTATAATATACGTATAAATATTTAATGGTGGAATAATTACCAATTTACATTACGTCAGCGTTGTTAATAGTTAGAACACAAGCCATTGTTTTGGACCAGCGACTAAGCTGGCATTTTCACATTGACTACACCAGCAACAGAGTAAGAAAATTAATATAGATATTTAAAAAACTTAGACATGTAAAAACAAAAAAATTTAATCACACAAATTTACAGCACTTTTTTTTATAGGATGGGGTGACAAACGAGCACACAGTCCACCTGATGGTAAGTGGTTACTGTGACCCATAGACATCTACATCTATCCTCAATAAAGACTCAAGATGCAAATGCGTTGTCACCCGTGAGGACTAAGATGGAATGCCTCTTTGCCAGTAAAAAGGGTCTCCGGTTCTCTACACTCACCATACGAAACACAGCAGCGTTAAGCTGCTATTTTACGCTGGTTTTCTGTGAGTGCGTGGTGCTTCCCCGGTCGAGCCGACCCATTCGTGCTACAACTATACTACTAATATAGCTGCAGCATGGCTCTACCACGTAAAAACAACAACTATGACACAATCTATAATAGGCTACTGCATCCCCGTTTGGGGAGGTGCAACAAAAACAATTTTTTTGGAAATTGAAAGAAGTCAGCGCAGCCTCCTTAAGGTAATGTACTATAAACCCTTTAGATACCCCACTGAAGAACTCTATAAATTTTGTGAACTCCTGTCTGTGAGAAAATTGTACATTTTATTGACTTCTCTAAAATTGCACAAAACATTACCATTTAGGTCTGAATTACTACTACATAAGAGAAGAAAACATAGAGTTGCAATAGCCAATATTGTAAAAAATAAATTTGCCAAACGACAATACTCTGCATTTTCTGTATACATTTATAATAAGTTAAATAGACAAATTGGTATTTTTCAATTAAAATCGTCCGTATTAAAGGAAACTGTAAGTAAATGGATTTTAGAAATGACGAATCATGATATAGAATTAATGCTTTAAGAAACTAACTGAATTAAAAATACGCTCATTCACTCACACACACACACACACACACACACACACACACACACACACACACACACACACACACACACACACACACACACACACACACACACACACACACACACACACACACACACACACACACACACACACACACCCACTCCCACACACACCCACACCCACACCCACACACACACACACCCTCACACACTCACACACCCACTCACATACACACACTCACACAAACTCCGCATGCTTGCACACACAAGACTATTGTTTTTCTTTTATTATTTTTATTTTTTTTTCAAATTTTAGAACTATCAAACTTAGTTATGGAAGAGCGGGTTCTCCTGGCACAAGTAAATGTAATACTTAAAAGGTTTGGCCCCAACCTTTGATTATTATAAAACAACTGTCATTGCTATTGAAATAAACATTTTTTGATTTTGATATTGACAAGCATCTTAATATAAATTGTTTACCAAGATTTATAAATTGTGTATTTTGTAAAAAATACTAAACTTACAACTAGATGAAATATAATTTAGACAATTATTGAGCTAAGGACTACTACTAATGTTCGATAGGTCGCGTGACCTATTCGACTGGTACCTTGGCTCTGTGTTCATAGATTCATCAGCATTAACATTACATCCCATCTCATGTTCACTGCTAAGCACTTGTAAAGGGATGTTATGGTGATGATGAACATGATATTTACCAGTGTATTAGCGCGTGGACCGGAGGTATTCTAACTTTCCTTGCTTAGTTGATAGTTTTGTCAGTATTCGGATGAGTTAACCGTGATTACCGTAATGGTAGCGTAAGAGGATCCACTACCCCATATCATTCTGTTGATATCGTGAGATACGACACAGGGAAATGAAACCGATGATACAGCTTCTTCCTCATTACAATTCAAAATAATAAAAAAACTGCGGTAACCAAACCGCCTGCTAAGGGTGGCAACTATACCAACTATGGTTGTATATATGCGGGACAATCCTATTAAAGGCCTATGTTCAGCAATGAACTTTGATAAGCTGTCATAAATGAATGAATGTCCCGTGATTAAAGTCGGTTAGGAAAACATCTTCATCAATATTCTTGATCTGTTACTCTCTACGATTAGTAAAGGCGTTTCCTATTCCTATCCTAGTCCTATTCTATTGTTTACCATCTATTCTTTGTGGCTAGGTTTTTACATTTTATTTATAGACAAAGGTGTTTTTAAGAATGTAATTATAAAAGAAATTAAAAACACAACAACACATTAATTAATATCACACTGTTCAAGCGCGTGGGTGATTGTAGGAGTCAGTGAGAGCTTCGACATAACTATTGGGACATTTTGTAGACATATAATTCCGATAAAACGAGAAATAAGTAATGTTGCGGTCAAATTCTAATTACAAGTTAGTGGTCAAATTTGACCTCATGTCAATGTGAGTTTTCACTTCATATTTGTATGAAATATACAGTTAAATGTATACATAAAATTGCATGAAATTAATTTAAAACGCTATCTAGTTGGCACACGCAGTTTCTTTAAAGTAACATCATGACTGATAATTTAAAATGAAAAATTTTATACAGCCGATTTCAATATAAGTTATTAAGAATAACTCAAAAACTATTGGTCTGGCCTTGATCCAATTCATATGATACCACACGAGAAGTACCAGCTTTCAAATAAAAAAGAATCATCGAAATCGGTTCATCCAGTAAAAAGTTATGAGGTAACACACAAAAAAAACATACAGTCGAATTGAGTACCGTGTCCTTTTTGGAAGACGGCAGAAAACAAACCGAGACATACAATTCAGTGGATTCGGTACACTTATCACTTAATCACTAGACTAAGATTCTCATATTAAAAGAGATGCAAAATTATAAAACAAAGTATTTATTAGTACTTACCTACTAAATGATGTTAAAACAATGATGACCAATATTTTTTGTATACTTACATTAAACCAAGTCGTGATTAATTTCCATTTAAGCTTCATGTAAATTATAAGATTTGGGTCCTCAGACGATGTCAAGTCTTTATTCAATAAGATCACTGCCATTACATTAAGATGAGCAAATGTCAAACAATAAATGAATAATCTTACTTTTAGAAATAATTCACTATTTCTTAAAAAAAGATTTTGTAAGGCAAACATTGTTGGGCGTTACACACTTTGCTTACGTTCGGTTTCAATAAATGTATAAGAACAACTTAGCTCCAACCTTTAAAGTCAAACCGTATTATAATGTAGTCGTTTACTGATGTACATTATACAATTAAAATAAACATATAATCTCATTAATGTGTGTTAAGAAAACGAAGCTATTAAAAAGTCAAAAAAATATTGTTCGTTATATTTTTTTTATTTTTTTTTATAGGAGAGGGGGCAGATGAGCATGCGGCTCACCTGATGGTAAGTGACTACCGCCGCCCATGAACAACTGCAACACCAAGGCAACCACGGGAATTGTAGATGCCTTGCCGGCCTTTTAAAAAGGAGTAGGCTCTTTTCTTGAAGGTCCCTAAGTCGTATCGGTCCGGAAAAATCTCTGATGGTAATCGATTCCACAAAGAAGTCGTGCGAGGAAGAAAACATTTTCTAAATCGCACAGTGGTGGACCGCCAATCATCCAGATAGTGTGGATGGTATCGGGAGTTTTGCTTCGATGTGCGTTCGGGAAATTTGGCGGCTGGGATTAATCCAAAAAATTCCTCAGAGCACTCCCCGTGGTAAATGCGAAAGAAAATGCAAAGGGATGCAACATCTCTTCGCAGTGTCAATGAGTTGAGCCGATCGGAAAGGACTCGGTCGTCGACGATTTGAGCAGCTCTGCGCTGGATGCGGTCAAGTGGAAGGAGCTGGCACTGGGGAGCCCCTGCCCAGAGATGGGAACAGTATTCCATGTGAGGCCGAACCTGCGCCTTGTAAAGTTGCAGGCGGTGTGCCGGAATGAAATACTGTCCCGCTCTGCTGAGCACGCCAAGCTTTTTAGAGGCCAATTTGGCCTTCTCTTCCAAGTAACCACGAAACTGCACGTCACTCGATACGTCGACTCCGATGATTCCGATACTGGCTGAGGCAAGAAGGGGAGTGCCTTGAAACTGAGGAGATAAGACAAAGGGGTTCTTTTTAGCGGTAAACGCGCATACTTGTGCCTTCTGAGGATTAACCCTTTCGTTGTCCCGTGCACTACATATAGGTCATTGCTATTGTCTAACTATTGTGTCTCAAAATCGGACAGTGAAAGTGTTAAATTGGACTAGATTTAGTCGCCCCCAATCCGAGGCTTTGTTCAGCATAGACTCGACTTCACACAGAAGTTTGTTCAGGTATTCGGCGACGTTTTCCCGAGAAGTATTGGCACGGCCGGTGTATAGAGCATCACCAGTGCTGTCATCCGCATAGCAATGAATGTTACCAGTTAGCAACATATCATTGATATGCAGAAGAAACAGCGTCGGTGATAGCACACAGCCTTGTGGAATACCAGCATTAATAGGCTTGTAGTCGAAACATGCACCGTCTACAACGACCTTGATGCTCCGATCTGCAAGGAAGCTGGTGATCAAATTGCACAGTTTCCCGGGAAGCCCATAGGAAGGGAGCTTCGAAAGAAGCGCTTTGTGCCAAACCCGATCGAAGGCCTTCGCAATGTCCAAGCTAACGGCCAACGCCTCCCTCTTGGACTCTACTGCCTCCACCCATCTATGGGTCAGGTAGACCAGAAGATCACCAGCTGATCGACCCCGACGAAAACCGTATTGGCGGTCACTAATCAGCTGGTGATCCTCAAGGTACCGCATGAGCTGACAGTTAATAATGGATTCCATTATTTTGGAGAACAAGGGAGTGATGGCGATAGGCCTGTAGTTGGACGGGTCTGAGCGGTCGCATTTTTTAGGGATCGGGTGGACAAAAGCTGTCTTCCATGAATTCGGGACTACGCATTGGGAGTAGGAGTACCGGAAAAGACGCGTTAGGACCGGTGCCGACTTCGGAGCACACGTCCTCAGCACAATTGGGGGGATCCCTTCAGGCCCACTCGACTTCTGGATGTCCAGGGAGGTGAGTGCTTTGTGAACCGAGCGTTGTGAGAACAGCACATCCGGCATGGAGCACTTACACCGCGGGATGTTCGGCGGTGTTTCCCCCCGTCATCAAGAGTCGAGTTAGACGCAAAAAGGGAGCCTAAAAGATATATACATAATGTCTTACTTTCAGTTTCTCTGTTTGTTGATAAATAAATCATCTGATATTCGTAAATGATTCAAAAAAATATTATATGTAGCTGATCTGGGGGCACGGCAGTGCCCCCGCCAAGTCGAGCAAAGAAGCGGCACGGCCGTACCATGCTTTCCTCGAAGCAATGCAGGCCATTTTCGACCCCCTATAACTTCGTTGTAGATTAAACTAGTAGCCTGAATTTTCAGTAACCAATTATATTTCAAATTTCATTCAATTTGAACCAGTAGTTTAAAAATTATAACTAGTCAAAGTTTCTTAATTTTGTCACTCACTAACTGACAGATCATCAAAACTCTAAGGTACTTCTAGCAGACGTAGAAGATTGAAATTTAGAATATAATTAGTGTTTAGTGTATAAATCAGGGAAAAATTAAAATATTTTGTAATTTCGGTCCAGTTTTCTAGATACACCAACTGCATAAACAACTTTGTGATCGTATATAAATATATAGGATTACAAAGTTACATTTGCAGGGAATGAATCAGTGTACCTTTATATGTATGATATTATAACGGAATAATAGATGTAGATGGGTACCTAGATATAATTATGTTCAAAGGTAACTTGTAAAATGGTCAACGGAATGAAAAAGCAAGAATGGGATATGTCTTATGAAGATGTATCAAACTCCCACAATGTAATAAGTAGACTAAATTGCCCGAAAATCTGTAGTTGGTATTCAAGAAGTAGATGGTACCGGAAAGGAAAAAAAATTAGGACTATCTACAAAAAGAAATGAAATCTCATGAAAACACAATGTATCTCACAAGTAATACATATTCTTTTTTTTTAATTTTTAGTATTATATTAAATTAGATTGTATAGTGCGATTGCCAAGTCAATCTATGTATTTAAACATTAAAGATTTTTAATATTGATATGGTCACTATAAGATGTTGTTAGGTAAGCTAATTACGCAATAACTTGAGACAGAAGGACCCTTAAGTAGGGACTGAATAAATTAACCGACTAGGTATTACATGGATCTCATAACTTTTTACGGTAGAAGAACTGAGTTCCGAGCCCTTTTTTTTTTGTTACTAGTTATATTTTTGATGGCATTACATTTTTCTGAGAGGGTTTTAGGGAAAGGAAATGTCCGCCGCGATGTGTGTTGGCGAACTTCACGTGCCGTCGAAAATATTTTTTTCCTTATTTCTTAGACATGCAGGTTTTCTCAAGATGTTTTTCTTCACCACTGAGTACGTAGTAAATCAGCAATTCAAATTGCATAACAAGGATGAAAAAATAGCACCTTTGACTCTTCTTTAAAATATTTAAAATACCCTTTATTTACCCAATCACAAATTCTCTCTTAAGAAAATAAATACATACAATTGTTTAGTTAACCTACCTATTTACTCTTATCTGAGTGTACTGGGTGATTCAAGTAGAGATACTTTTTTCAATAGCCTTTTTTTACAGATCAAGTGTGAGTCGTGTCATGTTGTCATGTTATTTTTGTTTAGTATTGTTTGGCATTTCATAATGGAAAGACTTACGTCTCAACAACGTTTACAAATCGTTCAACTTTATTACGAACATTCACGTTCTGTGAGGAATGTGTTTCGTGTACTTCGCTCAACATATGGTCAACATAATCGGCCTACTGAGCGTACTATTCGCAACACCATCACCCATTTTGAGACCCAGCATTCATTATTGGATAATATTCCACCGAATAGACCACGTCCAGTACGCTGTGAAGAAAATGTAGCGGCCGTAGCTGAGAGTGTAAAAGAAGATCGTGGAGAGTCGATTCGGCGCCGTTCGCAGCAACTCGGACTGACGTATGGAACGACTTGGCGCATTTACGTCGAGATCTTAAATTAAAAGCGTACAAAATACAACTTGTGCAACAACTGAAGCCGCTCGACCTTCCCAAGCGACATCGCTTCGCTCTATGGGCTCTTGAAAAGTTTCAAGAAGATCCGACGTTTTCGAGGCAAATTTTGTTTAGCGATGAGGCCCATTTCTGGCTCAATGGGTATGTAAACAAACAAAATTGCCGCATTTGGGACGAAGAGCAACCTGAAGAGATTCAAGAACTGCCACTTCATCCAGAAAAAACAACGGTTTGGTGTGGTTTGTGGGCCGGTGGAATCATCGGTCCAAATTTCTTTAAAAATGATGCCGGTGCGAACGTAACCGTCAATGGCGATCGTTATCGTGCCATGATAACCGACTATTTGATGCCTGAAATTGAAACTCGTGACCTCGGCGCCACTTGGTTTCAGCAAGACGGGGCCACTTCCCACACATCGCATCAATCAATGGATTTATTGAGAGAACATTTCGGTGAGCACATAATTTCACGTTTTGTGCCGGTCGATTGGCCACCAAGATCGTGTGATATCACACCGTTAGACTTTTTCCTGTGGGGATATGTAAAGTCTAAAGTTTATGCGGACAAGCCCGCTTCGATTCAGGCCTTGGAGGAAAACATCACCTGTGTCATTCGCCAGTTACCAGTCGAAATGCTCGAACGAGTCATCGAAAATTGGACTCAACGGATGGACCATCTGCGACGTAGCAACAGCCAACATTTGATAGACATAATCTTCAAAAAATAAATGCCAAAGAATGATCTTTCAAATGATAATAAACATTCTCCATTAAATTTGAATTTTCTGTGTTTTTTTCTTTAAAAAAGTAGGGAACCTCGAAATGGATCACGCCTTATTTACTCAAGGGAAATACTCTGAAGTAAAAATATTAAGTTGTTGTGTTGTTTATTATAGTATAGTATACATGTTATCTGCATGTGTACTTTAATGTAATGTACCTTAATAAAATTTAAATACTTTGATACATCAAGGAAAATAATTCTAGAAGTCTTATAGCATAGCATTGGCATTGCACATAACATAAACTCTTAAGTCTGTCACCCAGAGGGATAAACAGAGACTAAGGACTTATATTTGACACGATCTTGACATACCTCTCTCGTTTCTTTCATATCCATATAA